ACCAGAGTTAATTAATAGCTATTATAACAAAAAGATCTTATACTGTTTCTATTATAAAGTTATCTCTTTACTAATTTCCGTAACCCGCTCAGTGAACCGCTATCTGCGGGACTAAGCTCTTACCGTTCTCTCTGCGGAGAGGATATGTGATTAGTTTTATCCTTCACCCCTCACAATGCCATCCTCGCTCTCCACGCCCCCCCCCCCCCGCACTTCCAGCGTCTATTCTTCGCCAAGTCTATCTTGTAACGCAAATGAATCGGCCATATTATCACTGAAACGGCTTAAGTAAGTGTCTCAGCAAATTGTAATCACTTACATTGCTATTAGTTATGAGCGATTTCGCGCGTTTTGGCATAGGCAAAGAAAGAGTTTTCTCTGACTCGCGGGATTTTTCCTGCGGGTTGTTGATATAGAAAAAAGAAACGTTTATTGGAACGACATTAAGAACGGTTTAAATGTCACGGACTTTAGCCTTGCGGTCTTTATTTTCTTTTGTTTTAGTCGTCTGGTTTCCCACTTAGTTGTTTAATGTTTTGTTCGAGAAAGTTCGTTGTATTCTTTTTTATCTCTACAAGTGTTCCTGTTTTCCTTTGGAGGTGTAGATTATTGCAGTTTTCACGACAAATTTAAATTTGCAATGATTAACCGCCTTTGTTTTATTCGTTACCTTTTTAATTTGTCTTTGTGTTTTCCTTTTTTTATTATTCATATAGAAGCGTAGTAACTTTTTAAAAAGGAATGCATCGATATAAATTAAAAATGTTTTTATATTCACGTCAAAGCTGCTGCGTAAAATATTTTTTTTAAATTTTGTCATTCGGGGCAAAACAGTATAGCATAATGTTTATTTACCTATTATAAGGTCGTGTTTGTGGCATTCCTTAGGGAAGGCCTGTGTTCATCAGAGGACATTTGAAGAGATGTAATGATGATGATGATGATGAAGGCAGTGTATGGCTACAATCCTACCTGTAACCATATTGTTAAGACAGATGCTGACAAATTATTCCGAAGCAAACCGTTTGGTTTGATTGCGTGATACGAGTATGTCGACAACTTAAGGGTTGAGGTTGCCCAAGCGTATTGTTGCCCGATGATAGATGGGAGAGGAAGGAATTACGTTATGCAATTCCTGCACACCTTCCCCGAAATAAATCATAATCTGATGTGATATATTTAAATTGTGTGTATATAATGAATGTTTATTATATGTTCTTTTAGAGTAGAGTATGTGCTTGAAAATAAAAAAAATTATCTAACAATTCGGGTGCGCCCCAAGACAATTATTTTTGCGACTGTATGAAACCGCTTCATTATCCGTTTTATTTTTATTTCTAAAGTGCCTACATGTGTTGATAGCAATTGGACTTGTATATTAGTTGCGGTATACATTAGTGATGCAACGGAAGTGTCATATCGGAAGCAGAAACGGAAACAGATGTTAAAAATATTTTTTGCAGAAACGGAAACGGAAACGGATGCGGAAACGGAAACAATACTTATTAAAAATTACAAATAAAACTTTTAATTAACATTCAAAATTAAGTAGCGGTAAGTTATATTTTATAAAACGTAGTTCGGCCGCGTTTATACCTAACAATCTGTTCCAGTGTTCTTCACTGGCGATTCTAATTGCTCACTGGCGATGCTGCGTACCACCTATACACCAAAGCTAAATAGGCACTGAAATTTGGGCAAACCCTTTAAAGAGCCACATTTAGGTTTAGCGAGTAGGTAATTTAGTACAGCCCTATCACGAAAGTACGACTTAAATAAACTTTGAATCCAAAATACTCAAATAATCAAATACTCTTTAAAAATAATTAATATAAACTTCAAGTTAAAAATAAATAATATAAACTTCACGCAAACATAACAGCTACCTAATTAATTTGCAAATCTAGGTTGTAACAAAGGCATTTATTAAAAACTATTTTTAACTGGAGAAAACCACGTCTTTAATTTCTAATTAACTAAAAATACAATAAATCTATTTATATGGATGCGTCGCTGAGTTCCGTTCAAAATTCCGTTACAAAACTTGCGAAAATAGAAGCAGAAACGGATGTTAAAAATCATGCAGAACTTCCGCAGTTGCGGAAACAGAAACAGAGTTCTGTTGAATCACTAGTATAAGTCATGTGTCATGTCCTTCCTTACACTCGGCTGTTTTCACATACTTAAGAATTTGTAATTCATCGAATAAAAACTTTATTTTATATCGATTTAATGCCTTTTCATTCAACACTTCAAGGTAAAAATGTTATAAAGATATGTTTTAAAACACATTTTATTACTTTATTATTGTTTTCAGAAGTTAATTCTACAGGTTCAAAAACTTTAAATGTGTCAATAGGTCTTTACTAATCTTAAATCTTAGCTTTAGCGGTTGATATAGATTTTGTATGTATAGGACTATAAGTTTTATATATAAATATTAAATACTGCTAGAGCGGTCTTAGTACCCATTACATTATTTTTTTTTATAGAAGAGGGGGCAAACGAGCATGCGGCTCACCTGATGTTAAGTGACTACCGCCGCCCATGATCAACCGCAACACCAGGGGAATTGCAGGTGCGTTGCCGGCCCTTTAAAAAGGAGTAAGCTCTTTTCTTGAAGGTCCCCAGGTCGTATCGGTCCGGAAAAATCGCTGGCGGTAAACTATTCCACAGAGAGGTTGTACGCGGAAGAAAACTCCTCTTGAAACGTACAGTGGTGGACCGCCAAGCATCCAGATGGTGTGGATGGTATCGGGACGTTTGCCGCGTAGTGCGTTCACGAAATTTGGCGGCTGGGATTAATCCGAACAATTCCTCAGAGCACTCTCCATGGTATGTGCGAAAGAAAATGCAAAGAGATGCAACATCTCTTCGCAGTGCCAGTGAATCGAGCCGATCGGAAAGCACTCGGTCGTCGACGATTCGAGCCGCTCTGCGTTGGATGCGCTCAAGTGGAAGGAGCTGGTACTGGGGAGCCCCAGCCCAGAGATGGGAAATGTATTCCATGTGCGGCCGAACCTGCGCCTTGTAAAGTTGCAGGCGGTGTGCCGGCATGAAATACTGTCCCGCTCTGCTGAGCACGCCAAGCTTTTTAGAGGCCAATTTGGCCTTCTCTTCCAAGTGACCACGAAATTGCACGTCACTCGATATGTCGACGCCGAGGATTCCGATACTGGCTGAGGCAACAAGGGGAGTGCCTTGAAACTGAGGAGATACGACAAAGGGATTTTTTTTAGCGGTTAACGCGCAAACTTGTGTCTTCTGGGGGTTAAACTGGACCAGATTTAGTCGCCCCCAATCCGAGACTCTGTTCAGCAAAGACTCGACTTCAGACACAAGTTTGTCCCGGCACTCGGAGACGTTTTCCCGAGAAATATTGGCTCGGCCGGTGTAAAGAGCATCACCAGTGCTGTCATCTGCATAGCAATTAATGTTACGGGTTTGCAACATATCAATGATATGCGTAACGTACGTAACATTATATAACATAGTAACATACATTTAATGATTTCTTGTATTCACGCGAACACTATACATTGATTAAAACTACTTTAACGGATTTAACATTTAAATGATATTTAATTCCCGACGTTTCGGCTGATTTTCAGCACCCATGATCACGGGGAACTGAGGTGACTGACGTGGTGGAGACTTCATTGCTATAATACCCTCTCAGTAACGAGAGGTGGCCTGTGCCCAGCAGCGGAACATACATAGGATGTAACTTCAACTTAAACGCATTTTCAATTTAAAAGATAAAAAGGACAGATCGTTCAAGATTTTTTAATTAATTTTTCTTCATCATATTATTTATTCTGAACCTTTTCTGCAAATTTGGCCGGTCATTGCACAATAACCCTGTTAACGGACTATGGCGTTCCATATACAGCAGAATGCAAACCATTCACAGAAAGAAGCACTTACGATACAATCTGGGAGGTTCAATCCTCCGAATCCCATCAATGGACCGCAAGATGCTCGCCTGGTTTCTACCCCTTTATTGTCGACATACCACGCATTCACACCAAAGGGTTTGCTTCGCCGTTCATAACGTATTATATATTATAATATATTTATACGTGTACGCTGCATGCAGCGGTGGTGCCACGCTGCAGTTATATTATGGTAGCATGAATGGGTTGGCTCGACCGTGGAAGAACCACGCTCTCACCGAACACCAGCGTAAAATCGTAGCTCAATGCTGCTGTGTTTCGTATGGTGAGTATAGAAACGGAGACCCTTTTTACTGGAAACGAGGCATTCCATCTTAGTCCTCAGTGGTGACAACGCATCTGTGTTTTGATTTTTAATCGAGGATAAATGTATGTAGGATAAATGTCTATGGGCCACAACATTCACTTACCATCAGGTGGACTGCGTGCTCGTTTGTCATCCTAATGCTATAAAAAAAAACATAGGTACAGCAAAGGAGTGAAATTATCTGCCAGCGTGTCTTTCCATTCGATTATAATGTGGGTGTCTTCAAGGCAAAAGTGCATAGGCTATTATTCAAGCTGGGTCAATGCGCTTTACCATCTTTGGCTGCATCACCACATACATTCAGATGGAATAGTAGTCGAGGTCTGATTATTATAACAAAAAAAGAATTGTAGAAGGTTAAAGTCTGTCAGTCTCAGATACTTTTATGGACTGCTAATATTGTGTAAGTTTTATTAAGAGAAGATTATCTATTTCGTGTCATTAATTTTGTAAACGACACCTATACGAAAGGTTAGAAAGAAGTCGTGGCCTCGGATAGATGACAAACTATGTTTAGTTTTTTTTTCCATGGAAATATACCAAAATTGTGAAAGTATGTTATTCGAATTATAAAAAGTTAATAAATTTATGTGATTAAATTTTCATTGGCTTTTAATATTATATTGGCCAATTATAAAATATACTTTTTTGTTTTAATAAAAAAACACCAATATTTTTCAACTAGCCTCCTGTACTCGAATTTTTTAAATACATTATTAAAAGAAAACTCCTCTAATATGATATCTTGTACAAAAACAGAAAATTTTATCACTTACACGGGCCCGGTGTCCGTGTGTCCGCCAGAAGACTGTCTATTATGCGGCGTGTATCATTTAGCAAACATTTAGTTCTTAACTGGGGGAGGGGTCGCACTTTGTATGCAAACCAACTAAAACATTCAATATTGTTAATATCAAGAACAAAGTACTGAAAGAGATAGTTGAGGGCGACCCGTTTCCCGTTCCCATTCGTGAAACATATGCAGTAATAACTGATAACCGGTGCCGATGCTTTGTTAATAAAATAATTTTATTGTTATTTGATTCGATTTAAAATGGCCTAGGTATTTGTCATAAGCCTGTATTATTTATCTTTTCCTGTAGTCACATTAAGGATATTTAGAAGAAATAGAAAGATAGTTTTGAAAAAGTTTTTGCCGGCCTAAAAAGGGAAGAGGTTTACAATTCGACTGTATGTTTATTTGTATGTATGTATCTATGTTTATCAATTGTCAACCGATTAAAAAGGTTATTTTATGAAGTAAAACTTCTTTACGCATGCTTGACTTGGGGAATAAGCTGGCGAACGCGTGACGAAAGCGTTATTCCTTAGGGCACTCCCCGTGGTACATTTTTTTTACAGGAGATACGGTTACGATACTGCAAACGAGCACACGGTTCACCTGAAGTGACTACTGCAGCCTATGACCAACCGCAACGCCAGGGGAATTTCAGGTGCGTTGCCGGCCCTTTAGAAAGGAGTAAGTAAGCTCTTTTCTTCAAGGTCCCCAGGTCGTATCGGTCCGGAAAAATCGCCGGTAGTAAATTATTCCACAGAGAAGTCGTACACGGAAGAAAATTGCTAGTAAAACGTACAGTGGTAGACCGCCAAGCAGCTAAATAGTGTGGATGGTATCGAGAGTTTTGCCGCGATGTGCGTTCGTGAAATTTGGTGGCTGGAATTATTCTTAGGGCACTCCCCGTGGTAGATGCGAAGGAAAATGCAAAAGGATGCAACGTCTCCTCGCAGTGTCAGTGAATCGAGCCGATCTGAGAGGACTCGGTCGTCGAAAATTTGAGCCGCTCTGCGCTGGATCCGGTCAAGTGGAAGGAGTTGGAACTGTGTAGTCCCAGCCCAGAAATAGGAACAGTATTCCATGTAAGGCCAAACATGTGCATATTTCTGCCGGTATTACAGATTGACAATCGTATTGCCAAACGTCTGGCTCTAAACTAGACGATTAAATACATACATAATTAATGTGTTGTGTGTGTAAAAAAATGTGTTGGAATTCAAAGGAAGATTTTGATTTTTTGTTGAGAATTATCTTACGTTACCGCCACAAGGTCCTTTAAGAGGACACAAGTCGTAACATCATTTATGATTCAAATAAAATTTTAAAATCTGATCCAAGTTTTATTGTTTACACTGTGTTTATTGATTGGGTATTACAACCTTATTGAATAAATAACACTAACAAAAATAAACTACTCCATTGTAAGTATTCCAGTTTACATTGATATCAACTATTCTATTATGATATCGTATTAATTTTTTATGTGATAATTTTATGTTCATTAAGTCAAACAATGAGAAATCATTTCCGTTCTTGGTATTAAATGAATAATGAGGTGTAGCTGTAGCTGTATCCTATACCTTTAAAACGGCTCCAACGATTTTCATAAAATTTAGTGTCCAGCTAGTTTCGGGGGCAATAAATCGATCTAGTTAGGATTTATTTTTAGAAAATGTCTTTTTCTCCGTATTTTCAGGCAATGAAAAACTGCTACAATATAAGATGGTAAATTTTGACACTGTATCAATGATCGTAATAGCTCAAGTGTATGTCGGATCGTCGCGAAATCGTAATGCTTTGGTTCGCGTCCTGTCTTCGGTCCGACTTTTATTCCTTTTTTTTTTCAAGTTCCCTTCTTTTGTGAGAAATTCTATTATTTCGAGCCCATTTTTTAATATTTTTTAAAAATATGAAAATTTTAATTAAACTAATTGCACTCATGATTTTTTATTCAAATAACCAGTTCAATTTTTTCTAATATGTCAATAAGATCAAAAAATATTATTCATGTTTCATCACTATGTAATTTGTATCTAAATATAATTAAAAAAAAAACCGAGCAAAGCTCGGTCATCCAGGTACTTATAAATTAATGTTTCTATCTGTCATACGATTTGATACATTGCCACGGGATTTCGAATAAAAGTCGGACAGTTGGAAAGTGTGAGTGGGTTTGTATAGGACACACTAACTACACTAACTGTCGAGATCAGTCTTATAACTATACAAACCGACTCACATTTTCCAAGTGTTCAACATAGAATTATTCGAACCACGTTAAATCCAACCCACCACCAAATCATCACATCTAAAATACTATCTTGGTCACTACGCCCGGGAAGCGACGAAAGTTATATCTTGACTACCACGAGGGAGGCACATGTCCAACTCTGAATTTTAAAGAGGTGATGAAAAAGTGAAAAGACTACCTCGAAGCATCACATGTATTCACACAAGCATTCAGTTATAAGTTAATTGTGATAATTGCTTGAGGACCACACACCACCAAGTGGTATTGTAGTAAAGTACTTGCTCATAACAATTAAAAAATACACAAAGAAGTCGCATATTTCATTACAAAAAACTATGACGTCATTTAGTTATTTGACATTTGATATCATTTTGCGGCTTATTAGACATCCTCTTTTTTCTTTCTCTCTCTCTTTCTGTTTTTTGTTTCTGAATTTTGTTCAGAAGAATACGATCCTTTCGAACGCTTCGTGTGAGTAATTTGATACTGCATCACTCACTGTCAAAGCACAGCGATATTACTGCTGTATATCGGTCCAAAACCGAACCGAGCCCATCTATTCTGAGCAAGTTCCGCTACATAAAAACGCTACATCTCGTATCCTCCTAGCCTTAACCGTTCAGAAGAACATCATTTGTATGTCCAAATAAAAAAAAAAACATTTGTAGCGTCGTGTCTAGCGGGCAATGGGAAGGTATCAAACACTTCGCACAGTGAACCCGCGCCGGTGTCTAACGCGTCAATAATTGTAACGGTCAGATGAAAAAGAACAATTCGCCCGTTAATTTACACCTCCCCATCGCCGGCAGGAAGTTTACGATCGAGCATTTTATCGATTGCTACTGTATTTAATGCGCCGAATGTACACCAGTCGCTGTTTACGTTCGGCACACAATCGCCGGGCGGCATTTCTTTGTGCCATCGTGCGATCTAAGCTTTATCGAAATTTTAATTGTAGACGCAGACAAAGGCGGCGTACTAAGACGGCAGTTTCAATAGTACAATCTACAAATAAAATGTTTTATTAAGTTGGGCGTGCGACGCCGAGCGCCGCCGGTAGGCTTGTTTACCGCCAGCGCACGTGCACTAAGTACCTACCAGTTGAAATGCCCCGATGTTTGTTTACTCGTATAAAACACTAAAATCCAATTCAATAACAAAGAATTAAAGATCCCAAAATAAAATTTATTGCTCCAGTACGATAAAATAGATTTATGAACGCGCCGCGTTTGCGACTCGCCCGTAATATTATTAGGTACTCCCCTGGAAACAATATACTTGCTTGCTTGGGCCGTGTACGGTGCCTTCCTGCCTCGATTTATGAAAATATGTTGGGCTAAGTATAGTTGAGTAACTCGCCATTTTGTCGTTTCCACGGCGTATAATATAATAATGCCGATAATTGTTACTGAGACGTTTTCTGTCAACAAAATTAAAAGTTTATTTATTGTAGCAGTTGTAATTTTATTTAAATAATAAGAACCCTGGCACAATTTATGGCCGTCTACAGCGATTATGAATATTTATAAATTTTAATTGTATTTAAAATTAATTGAAAGGGCATTGTGACGTTCGGTGCGTTTATTTTAATATACACACTCGTAAATTTTAGAATGTGTTAATAAAGTCGAAACGTAATTCCATTTGTTAAATTTCTTCATAATTACTGTACAAGAGTTTTCCTTATGTAAATAATGGCTCAGCAGGGTTTTAAAAATATTTTTTTTTATTAGAACACTGATAACTTTTAAAACCCTAGTGCGGGGATATTACTTGCGTAGACATTTGGCATTTGGGAACCTCTCATCTCAGACATATTTCGTTCAGAGCCGGAGCGGCATCAGAGGCAGCTAAACTAAGTAAGTGGCGCAAATATGAGTCTCTGAGAGATAATTACATGTTTATGCTACTTGCTGTTGAGACTATCGGTCCATGGATGGGGTTCACATACGGTCAAGTTTCTAAATGAACTGTTTTAGCGACTGGTGGTAGTCTTTGCTGAAGTAAGAGGGCAGAATCTTTTCACACTGCAAGGCTAAACTTGTGCAACCAGCATTCTTGGCACACACCACGGGGATTAGAAATGTATGACAATTAATATTTCTTAGTTTTAGCTATTTTCTATAAGTTTTTAACAAAACGAAACTATCGATAAGATAGATATTATTGATAACTTTTAAAAGAAATCTGTTTTTGGATTTTGTAACAAAATGTAATTTATAAATAAATTAAATATTAAAGGCGTGGTAGGTAGGTTAGCGCTCGCTGTAAAGTCACATTACGCAAGCAATCCGGGTTCGATCCCCGCCGGCACCAATGAATTTGTTAATTGCAATTTTAAGTGCTGATTTACCACGTGCACGGTGGTGATGGAAAACAACGTTAGGAAACCCTGTCTGAGAAATAAGAGAAATATTTCGAAGACATGTGAAGCTCGCCAATACGCATTGGCTGTAACTAACTTTTCTACCTTTAAATAATTGTGGCTTAAATTTTGCAGTAGTCATTTTTACCTGGTTAAAGTTTGGTATCATGAAAATGATAATGAGCTTTTATCTACTGAATTTATACAGAATAAGGTTAACAAGTGAACTAATCACATAATGGTATAAGTGAATGCTGCCTATAGACATGTAGATACATCTATCTACCGGTGGTGGGGCTATGATGCAGCTATATTAGGGTTGTAGCACGAACATTTCGACGAAGAAAGAATCACGTCTTCACGGAATACCAGCGTAAAATACCAACTTAAGTTGCTGCGTTCGTGTTCGTTCATGTAGAGAACCGGAAGCACTTTTACCATCGTAGTCCTCGGGGGCGTCTATATTTTGACACAGCTTCCACTTACATATAATATTATGTGAACTGTGTGCTGGTGTAAACCCTATTCTTTAAAAGAAGCTTACAATATCCTTCTAGAACACTTAAATCATACTACACTTTCAAACATCATTGGCATCAAACTCTCAGTCTCTCATTAACAGAAAAGTTTGAAAACCTTTTTCCATTTGACCACCTTTCACCTTTTGCCATTGAAGAATATAAAATTTTATTTATTTGTCGTATTTCGTATTTAATGTGTGGTTTTTCACTTTCCTTTCTTAATTTAATGTCACTGAATTTTATGTTATTGTTTACTCACATGAATATCGTTTATAACCGTAACATAATGAAAAGGTAGGGTTTTACACACACCTTGACCTTTTGTAATGAATTCTTCAGTTTTTGAGCATACAATGAGTTTATCGCCTTACTTAATATCAATTTAATAGAAATCATGCCTGTAATGAGAATAACCGTTATAAATTAGCCTTAATTGATGTACTAAATTTTGTTTATTACTTTTATCAATGTTCCTGACTTTTTCGCCGTGTTGTGGAGGTGCAATATGACCATGTGTTTGTGTGTGTGTGTGTGGGGGGTAGACTTTATTTCGTGGGTGACGGAAGAGATGATAGAGGGAAAGTGAAACAGTTGATGGGCCGTAGCATCCACCTGATAATGAATCTTCATCAGCAGCATCTGTATCATACCGAGCGTGACAACTACAGCAAATATCCAACCCAATCTATGGCTGTAATGATTTTATGATGAATATTGATTTTCTTGTAACACTTTGCTTTTAAACTTTCGATGTCGAAATAAATTTGTAATAACATTCTCTTTCCTTTGTTTACAGGCCAAATTGCTCGAGAATTCACATGCATGGCTCGGTGCCTCCACATCCTCTATTGCAGGTCTGTTGATATCCTCATTTATAATTATTCTATTATTAAAGAATGTTTATTATGTTTTGGTTTCATCATATGTAATATCTATGCCACGATGGAAATTAAATCGCCCAGTGACTCTATTTTTGTTAAAATACTATTAAGTAATAATAAACAACTTTATGAACATCGTTATCGAATATTAGTTATGAAAAATATTACAATTATATACCAAGAGCTTTATTAACTGTGTCATAATAAATAGCAATTTGAGCTCTATTGTGGCAATTCAATTTTTTATTATTATTTCTAAACCCAACTCCATTGTATTAGATTGTGTTACACGCATGTCTAACTATATCATAATCCGTACATATAATGATGCAGTACGCAACGTTGTTCGTATCCAAACAAGATAAGTGTAGTTCTTTGTAACTGTTGTCGCGCTGTGGGAAATTTTTCCCGTCGTGGGAAACGTGACCGTATTATAACGGCTGCTATGTATATTTATTTTCGCAAATTATATGATATTGTAGTACATATTGAGTTCGCTGGAAAAGTAAATCATTTGAGTTCTTGCCAAACAAAGATACATTAGCAGTTACTAATTAAGCAGTAAAGCTGATGTACCGATTTCTTATTTTAACACTGCTCCTAATTTTCATTGCAATTCGTCCCAGAGTGGAAGGCGCAGCCACAGTTTATACCAGTACGGCTGCCGACGTTAACCTCTCAATGTAATGAATGGAACTTTTTATTTAAATAGTGTACGTAATTATGTAAAATTAGTGAAGTGAGTAAGCAAATATATTTATTTATTTATTTAATTCCTACTGGATGTGTTAACAGACTAAAGCCCGCCACATACATAAGGAATTCCGTTTCGGGATTCCGTTTCGCAATTCCGATTAGGGATTCCGAACGCACTAAGTCCATATAAAATCAATGACCCGTCACACACCTACAGTATTTTTCCGTTCGAAATTTTGCGGACAAAACGGGATTCCGTATGTGCGTGGCCGAACCTTTCGTTCCGTTTCGGAATTCAGAAACGGAATCTCGAAACGGAATTCCGCATGTGTGAGGCCGGCCTTAAATGTATGGCTTTGAGTATGCGTAGGAAATTAAGGAGTGCAATCATTATGATACGTAATTGTATGTTACCAAATGCTAAAGATTTTTAATGATTAAATTATTTTAGCAACATTGCAATGTATCGTTTGTTGGTAAAATTTGTATTGAGAAGCCATAGAATTGAAAGAGTAATGCATCATTATAGCGGATGTAGATAGTGTGAATTCTACGCTAGCGTTTTTGCTTTATCTGTCGATCAGAGTTCCACGGTCATACTCTGAAGTTGAAAGCACCAACCTGGACCCAGAGTCAACTGCAGGAAGCGATACAAGCAGTCGTCACGCAGAAAATGCGGTTCACACAAGCGGCCACCCGCTACGGAATACCAAAGGGAACTTTGTATGATAATATTCTAGGGAAATCAAAACGCATGGCAGTATTAGACGGAGCTGGACTATCAGCTAACGAAGAGAAAGCTGTATTAGATTTCTGCTGCGAAACCAGCGTTTCCCCTTACAATAGAAGAACTAAAAAATCACTTGCCGAAGTATTAGCGTTTGTTGAAAAGTTACGACGTAACAGAGACCCTGGTTTTGCATTCATTGGTCTAACTGGCTTCCGATGGTGGTGGGCGTTTTGTAAGAAGCATTCTATAGTTTCGTTGTATTACGAAGGATGGGGTAAAGTAAAATATTCAAAGTTCAAATCCGAACATAATACTGATGATGAATCTTAAATAATTATGAAAATTAAAAAAGTCCTCTTAGATGTTAAGGTCTCCGATTTTATTTACATATGAGTGCTAGAACTTTTAGAAGGATCTGGTATTTTGTTTTTAATTTTCTATTCGGCCAATCATATGCCATTAAAATGGTTGATATGAGTGACAAAACAATGTGTTAAAGTATTTACCTATAACTAAACAATATATCATTACTATTAAATTTGAATCAACGTAGAATACTCGTTTATTTTTATATACCTAATTCGCTTTGGGTTATCTTGATCGATTGTGATGGTAAAAAGATATGAAAGTATGCCCAACATGTTTTTTAACAATTTTGTGATCTAATTTCTTACTCATTTAACGAAATTAAGTACTTTAGTTTAGTGAATCATACCTTGTACAATGTTTCATTTAATCTATTTTTACATGATTATACGTTAAGTTGGACTGATAGATTATTAAGTTAGTATTAAGTTACAATTTTCAATGTGCCTTATGTCGCTTGTGATATTACGATACTTATTAGTATTATTCATGTGGATCTAAGTTATGGTTATGTTATCGCTGTCACAAAAGCTAATTGTATCAAATTTACTTAATTTAGTTCTAAGCTATTTAGAATTTTCTTTGAACTGTAAACTTGATGTGATTAAAGAAATCATAAAATGACTGTCACAACTAGATCATTACCATTCGAAAAATTATACATATTTTGTTTTATTAACGACGTCATGTTTAGGTTCAAACTGCACTATAATAAAACTTAAGTACTTATTAACAATCTACACTCCTATTTAAGTGCAGACGCACAAGACGTTGAATAAAATTATCATACAGCAACTCAGAAACTGCATTCAGACACTTGTAACAAATACAGTATCTCGAAATTGCCGCGTTCTGTTCTCTAATAATTACTACGATCAGCAGATCGCAAGTAATATTGGCAACTCTACGAATTACGAGTTAGTTTTGTATAATATAGCAACATATTAAAATTACCGATACAAATGCAGCTGACTAGTTTTCAAAGGTCAAGCTTAGTCGATCGAAACAAAGCTAATTTCAAGCCATTAGCATTTCTAGATAGATGATCCAATTGTTAATTTAATCAGATATTATCGATAGCACCAATTCCTCTTAAACTGTATAGAATAAGAAATATTGCAGTTATCTACTCTGTTCACCCTACGTAATTAAGAGGAAAAACTAATTCATTGTATACATAATGCGGTAAAGGGTACAACAAATGTGTGCACCTGTAACCTTATGGTTCAAAAAAGACCGCAGTTGGGTCGCTTACAATTTAAAAATGTTTGATGTTAAACGTTTCAGCGTCATGTCACTTTACTTAACAATAACGTAAAGCTGAGTGTTGTGCTTTTTTGTAAAATATATTTTTTGACTTAGGATTATGCTTTGGCGCAGTACATTGAAGTAATATGTACTTACGTACTAGAACAGCTATCTCAAACAAAAAATGTGCGCTACTCTGTGTTCGCGCGGTTGTTTTTTTTATCATAGAATAAACATAGGTAGAATGATCAGTAGGTAATATTAGATTGTATTGTTAAATAGGTAAATTATATCGAGAACAATATTTAAATTTTGTCATTTATTTTGTATATTATATTTGGTTATTTAATATACTATTACATAATATTATATCACAATTACATTTTAATGATATTTTTATCTGAATATTTTAAAAGTTATCTATGTCAAATATAAAAAACATACTAAATGTATGTTTAACAAAACTTATTAAAATAACATATAATTTACAAATATGTTTATTTAAATTAGAATAAGAGTCGTTCATAAATGCTGGGCACGCGAGAGTTAAAAATGTGAGTTTATACCACTTTGACTTTGATGTGGAAACCTAAAAATAAAATAAAAGAATAATAAGCAGATTTAAACATGAAAAATTTTGCCTAATTATAATAATTTATATATGTTTCTACTAAAAAAATGTGTATACTAATACATTCATCTTATACTTAAGTACCCACAAAAATGTCGCATCTGAACATATTAATTTCATAGTCTATATTCCATGACACGAGGTGGCGTCTTAGGAATAATTTGTTTTATTATTAATCTATAAACCTTTTTTATTGATTAACTATCTTATTATTTTACCGACATTTCTTGAATTATTTGTGCAATACCTAAGTACACACGACGGTATATTTTTATCAAGAGATTTTTTTAAAATCAACACAACACCTGTCAACTCTACAAGCGCCTAGCGAGTAACTGATTAAAGTGCGGTGTATGCACCGCAGTTGAGTGGAACAGAGTAGCTGCATGCAGTGTCGCCTCTAGTACGTAGTACATAATAGCTCAATGGCGCAGTAGTAACATTACTTACGCCCTTCATTTTTTTAATTTATTGCGACATTAGCTACAAGGCATTCAGCCAAAAAGAATACTTAAAGGAGACATACCATTTCAGACCTAGTCTATGTAGGTACACTATACCGTAAAAAAGCGAAAAATTCAGGGATTTTATAAAAAAAGAGAATAAATCAAACTGAATAACTAGCCAAAAATAAAAATATGGTCCCAAGTTTTTGATGGTTTCACAAGATGGCACCCTTCCAGTCGTAAAAAAGACGCGGTTATTTGTCAAATGTCATTTCTGACAAGTGACTTGAGTCATGAAATGATGCAGGTAGCGTGATATTTTAATTTATTCCGAGCTTGGTCATGTAGTTGTGAACTTAATAAAACATTTATTGTATTTCTGGTAGATTTCTTTGGTGATTTGGTTTTGGTTTAGTGATAAAGATAACACAACATTTCAGAATTTGAATAGCCATCAATAGATGGATGAATAACCTCATGACAGTTGACAGCTAACGTGAAAACGAGATATATTCGCCATTAGTGTTACAGTTTTTGGTGAGAATAAAATATTAAGACAAATTCGTGAATTAGAATGATCAAAAGTGGTTTAATATTTTATTTTTATTTATTTCTCCACTAGTACAAAACTAGGCCCATGCTACATACAATTTTGAACCGTCTCCTTTTGATGGCAGCGTAAATCAGCATACAGTCGATGATGATAGTATCTTTACTTATTAACTAGAAATTTATATGATCATTCTCCGATGATGTGACCTGACTTGTTTTAACGTATTTATTAAAGTGTTCATTTGAGCAGACATTTAAAACACAACATCACAGCACTTATATATATCAAAATCTGCTATAAGCTATCATTTAAACGATCATAATAATACAAAAACAGTAATCCCCGCTAAAACTCATTTAACATTAACGCTCTTGTAATTGAAAAAGATAATCTAATAAAACAGATAATAAATATGCCCGTTTTTTTAAATATTTTCAGTTATAAAGGGAGGAATAATTGACTAATTGTTTTATATAAATGTTCCTTTTAACTGTATTTATTTAAAAGAATACAAAACAGCTCATCTATTCAAACATGTTATTATTTTAATTATTAAATAATTGTATTAATTATACGTCATAATCTTAGCTCATCGTAAATTACTCTATAATCATCTGTACACGTTATCTGATTTAAAAAAAAACGATCAATTGTTTCTCACAGAGTAATTGACACTCATGTTAAAAAAATTGCCATTTAAATTTTAAAACACTAGTGATGTTTATACGATTGATTAGAGGATTCTGTCTTAATTATTTTACCAGTAAGAAACGGGACGTTCGAGAAAATATTTTATTCCTTTCCAAAAGGCTGGCAAAGCACATTCAATTCATCTGCCGTACTTGACACTTCCATGCCCTAAAACCCTCTCAGAAATGAGTGGAGGCCTGTGCCCAGCAGTGGGACCTATATAGGATGTAACTTTACTTTACTTTTTTTACTGGAGGAATTGTTACTTATAACCTTTTAGTATAATTTTTGTCATATTAATTTCCAAAAAGCAAAGTTAATCTGTAGCGTTCAACATTTAACAAAAGTACTCGACTCAATGTTGTAGATTTATCCCCTTACCCGTATTTAATAGAAATACGAAGCGAACAAAAACAAAATGTTTTATAAAAGGAAAATTATATGAGCGCTACTATTATATTAAAGGGAGGGTAAAACAAAACTAATAAAATAAAGGTGAGCAAAACCATTAGCAAAAGGCACACATATATGATAATGCAAAGATATATTATAATACAAAGATATATTATAATACAAAGATATATTATAATACACAGTATTAAAAAACTATAACTTATACTCGACACACACGGTCAGTTATCGGCGATCCACGGATATTTCCCGGCGCACGGTCAGTTAAAGTGATCAGTTGAACACGTACATCCAAATATTGACCATGATAGTAAAATCTTAAGTTGAAATTAGAAGCCAGTGAGTGGAGAAATCGTTTTGTCTTACACCTGTATTGAACTGATCAGTAGAACTAGTATGTTGAACTGATCAGTTTAACTGACCGTATGTGTCGGCCATTGGTTTAGTTGTAATAACAGCCAATTACACAATGGGTCTTAAGGTAAATATTTTTAGCCTTTAACCTATTTTACATCGAATAATAATTTCTTATTATCTGCAAATTACCAACGCATTACATAACACCTCGGTGTATTCTACTACTAATATCAAAGGATTCAATTTGTTTTCTCACAACACCTATTCCTTATAGTAGGAGTGGCCCTAACAAAGGCGCATAACGGGCTAAGTGATACAGACACTCGCACGCGGACGTAAGGTTCATTTTGATTTAATACGCGCGTCGCGTTAACTTTTTTTAGACGATTTAATCGGTAGGCTAATTTCACGAAGGTCGCTTCCATGGTTTGCAAAGTATTACGGATATTAGCTACGTTGTAACTAGGTTTAAACTCGCAAGTATGCTACCAGAGAGTGATCCTTCTGTTCTAATACTATTATTTATTATGTCGTTGACTTGACTTCACGCATGAAGCAATTTACAGACCTGTGTAAATAAAATAGTTTCATTTTAATACATTTTACAACTTTAGTTATATTATAAATTCTAAAATGTAAACATATATGTACACAGAAATGACAATCAGTCAATTAAAACGCAAGATATCCTATATTTAAACAGTCTTATTTTTGTCCGGAAATAATAATGAAAATGGCGCCAAATTGAGTATCACCATTTCTTAAAAATTAATTTATACACATTTATAAAGTGTCAAGGCCTTAATAGTTCCATAACTTTCTATACAATATGTACATAAAAACATCTATATCATTTAGACAAGATATTCCCACTGCAAGATTCAAGATTTCTGTGTAATAACGACTAATCTTCCCTCCATCTTTATAATTTACAATATACACGCCACAGATAATAATTAAAAGATAAAATTATTTGTACGGTTTAACCAATCTTAATTGAAAATCGCGAATATAACTCGTTTGTTTATAATTAATTCTTGCTATACGTATTAAGTTTACTTCGTCTAATCCCTGGAATCTTTTACAGTTTTACTCCTTATTTACGTATTTTTTTAAATACGTTTCAATAGTAGCTGGTCAGTTGCTGGCTTGTAATAAATAGTGTGTAGTCTACCGACGTTGAAAGTAATACATTCGACACTTCAAATTTCAAATATCATCGCGTTTAGTTATGCAGCTGGCTACAAGATGTCGCTATAAAACGATAAATTAATAAATCATTTAATTGAGATCACTACATCTATTCTTCTTTATTAAATCGCAAGCAATCTGTGTACGTTTTCAATTCATTTAATGAATATAAGTACTTGCAATATACTGAACGCTATAAAATATCAAAGCGCCAATGAAGGCAATTTGCCCTCGACGACCCATTATGTTATAAAAATAAATGTGACTCATTCCCAACTTCAAAGTAATATGTTTGAATTAATGAGGATGTACATTTCTATGTTAAAATATTTCAATTAAGTGGGTTGTTTAACAAAAACGTACCTTAAAGAACGTATTATCTTACATTTTAATAGTGGATTATTGAACCTACATGTTAGTTGATTAATATAAACAGCTATTCCAACTTTTCCATTGCATTTAAATTTTGCATTTATATTCAGTTTATGATTGATTCTAAATATTAATGCAGTTAAGAACTTTGTACGTAGCTGGAGTCCTTATACAGACTCAATTGCTTGGATTCTATTCCTTCTTTTTTTAATTAATGGATATTCGTCCATGATTATGCTCAATTATAAAAGTAAAAAATTAAAATGTTATAGTATTAAGGATTTAATAGATTTCGTTTTTCTTACTGTTACTCAATACGAACGTCCATTTGTATGTTTTTTTTTCATTTATTTTACGTAGCTAAATTTAAATCCCACCATTTTAAATGTTATTTCTATGCTGAAATACATGGTTTAAAGGATTAATTGTACACGTTGTTTTCAAAAAGTCGATTAAAAATACTCTACATCTGATAAGAACGTAAAAACGAACCATACAATAAATATATTTCTGTAATAGTTGTTTTTATTTATCCATCACTACTAATTGCCTTTATTTCTTTGAACTTACAGGTTCATCGCGAGGTCAGTATGTAGGAATGTTCGTTTTGCTTTTTTTGTATTCTTGTGGTAAATGTCTGATGCCAGGGAAAAAATGTGTCCTGTGGTCTAAAGAAATATTTCTCTAATAACCTTTTTAATATGATGTAGTTTTTCTACTCCGGGTTACCAACATCATTATTACTCCGTGCGAAAAGTTCCAAAACGGAACTTTTATGGAGTCACTGTGTCTGTCTGTCCATTACGACTATTTACGTAAGTAATTGTTATTTGGTATTGTTATACATTAGGCAATTACTTAAATACAATATACACGCCTGAAATTCGGATTATTTATGACATGTTTACGACATATTTATCCCCTGGCTCAACTTTATATAATTACATTGTTTTCTCAACAGGTGTACATCGAAAACTGACGTACTTATTCGTAGTATTTATAATAATAACAGGGAAGTTAAACTTATATCATTCGAAAGGTACATTGCCATAGATATGCAGGAAAAAAGTATTGCCGTTAAGGCACGCAAAGTGAAGTGAACATACGCACATGATAAGGTCTAATTTAGGCCAGACACGATAGTTTTAAATTTATTTCTATTTCTTATTTGTTACTACATATATCAATAAAAAGGTTGAAGAATAGTAGGTTGTAAGAAAGAGCGAAGAAAACTGACCTTATTTAACAACACTGTGTGTGTAAGCCTCGTCGAGGTATTTCTTCATATGGTGCACTTTTCTATAGTTCAGTTCAGTTATAGTTTATTAGTGAACGCTAATTAGAAACGAGTTTCGTAAATTCCATATATGCCGATACAATTAACAATCTAGTCTTAAATGTTGGTTTCAAAGCTAGGCAGATAAACATTATTTTTATTGACTTTCGTTGTTGTACTGTCTGATTTTTGGAAGTTTAAATGTGTGTATATGTGTAGGTGATATTTTACATACAATAGAATTATTTTTATTCAATATAGATTATATGTTATATTTATTATAAGTCATTTATTATTTGGGAAGATTCAGCAAGAAACCCAGCGGGACTTAAATATTTATATAGTTTTATAAATATTATATATAGTTTTATAAAGACAAAATACGAAGAAAAATTTTCTCCGACCTATTATATAAGTAAAATTTATCTCGCATATCCTGAAAACATTCGTATAAAATCTTAACTGGTCTAATAATTTCTAGTCCCTAAGGACATTCCTTGCGAAGCTTCTCTATGTTGGAAGACCTATCGTATTGTAGGCTTCACTATGTACGAAGTTATACTTAATCGTTCCCACACCCCAATTCTATTTTATTTTTATGTTGTATAAATAGATCACTAAACTCTTGTAAAATGTAAAGTTAAATGTACTGATGCGCTACGTCCTATTTTCAGCAGATAGCTACCAGTACCAACTACAGTCGATGTGGCAAAAGTGCTGGAACACCAACCAAAGCCTGGTCCACAACCTGCGATTCCGCGAACGCGGCCCGCTCAAGTCCTGGAGACCTGAGACCATGGCAGAGGCCATCTTCTCGGTGTTGAAAGAGGGCCTGTCGCTGTCGCAAGCCGCGAGGAAATACGATATCCCGTATCCGACGTTCGTGCTGTACGCCAACCGGGTCCATAACATGCTAGGACCCAGTGCCGACGGAGGGGCAGGTACGTGATGCTCTATATCGTTTCGAGTAAGAAAGTGGCAAATGAAAAACATTTAACACATATCAGAGTTTTTTTCGTCAGCAGCTTTCTGTCTTAGATGGTTTTCTTATGCCACTAGCTTGTAGCTAGATGCGGGCTTCTGTGGAATCGTTACAAGGTTTTTCTCATAATTATGTTGTTGTTTAAAATTAAACCATCCTCTTTTCGCAATAAGAGAGTCCACACCATGATCTCATTATTTTACTGTTTTATAAATTTTCAAAAGTTAATGTTAAAAGCAAAGATTGTAGACTTTTAATATCATTTTTATTATATATACTTTCATATCTTAGTAAAGACATACTAAAAATTCTTTTCGCTAGTTTGAAGTTATTTCGACTTGGAATTCTAAATTCAAATAATTTACTTTCAATTATTTTTTTAAATGAGCATTTTTTGCCATCGCTATGTATACGACCATCGATAAATCAAATCGTTAAAATATTTTTGAATACAAAATTCATTTGTGGTACTAATGCTACACTTTACCGGGGGCCTTGGAGTCCATCAGGGTAGATATAATATTAAATAGTTATATAAATAAGTATCACTTAACTGTCACATTCTAAAAACATGTTTACATATAAACTAAATACTTAATCTTAATTAAATTTAGGCAATCGGAGGTGACTCAGATGTTGGTTACATGGGACTAAGATCCTATGAAGCTGGTTTTCAGACACTCTTTCAGATATTAGTATTATCCTCTAACCAATTTCGGCCAGAAAACACCAGTGCTAGTCTGTGAACAAATAGGGATTTCAACCTTCATATTTTGATATTTAAATAACTATTTACATTAAAAAAATTAAACAAATGATTCCTATATCTACAGCGAAGTCATCAATAAACTTCCAATAAAATAGCAAAGGTGCGTCGCCAGTAATGGCCGTCGGTTTGGACGACAGTAATGGTCGTCGATACAACGATTATTTAAATAAGCAACTACTATACGAAAAATGCTTGAATCTTTTTATCTATATAAATAAAATTGATCCTTCCGTCTGTAAACTCGAAATAACTGCCTTATATTGAGCTGTGGGGGTTAATTGCATGCTATTAAGATATAAACAACAATTTTTTGTATGTCTGTCCGTTCAGGTTAATGTTCAGAATAACTGAATCAATTATAATGAAACTTAACGAATGGATAGAAGTGATCTGGGTAATATTTTATCTCAAAACTTGGAGATTTTTTTGTCAAAATAATAAAATAGATAGTTTTGATTATCTTAGATCCAAATAACGTCGTATTAATACGTCTTGCCTAGGCGAAGCCATTTGGGCTGCTATTTTTTAAATTTTTTTTACTTCCCGCTAAGAAAATAAAAAAAATTTCAAAAACTAGGGAAGTTATGGGTTTCTCCCCGATTTTAGAAAATCGAGTTTTCATCAGATCTCGACGTTTTGAGATCCCAGGAAGCTATTCTGACTAATTTCACGTGGGCGTCCGTACACATCCGTGTGTTTGTGTGTGTGTGTGTGTGTGTGTGTGTGTGTGTGTGTGTGTGTGTGTGTGTGTGGTGTTTTTTGTGTGGGGCGTGCTGGCGTGTGTGCGTGCGTGCTGCGTGCGTGCGTGTGTAAGTATGTAAACCTTTCATAACATTTGAACGTCTCGATCGATTGAGATGCGGTTATTTATTTCGGCGTTCTAAAGATCTCAATGTGGAATAGATTTAGTAATAATATGAACTGATTCGGACTAGTAGATTTTGAGAAATCGCAAAAAAAAATTAAAAAAAATGTTCTTTTGAACTAACTTTAAGACGGCTTTACCGATCGATTTCAAAAACTAATCAGCTCTTAACCTTAAAAAAATTACGTCAAATGTCGTTTGGAAAATAAAAATCGGTTTATTCGTTCGTGAGATTTCGAAGGAGAAAGAATTTGAAAAAAAAAAAGTTTTTTTTTTTGACATAACCTGGTGAAATTAATGATCATGAGTTGATTTCGCAACATGATTTGGTCAAATTTGGAGCGCTTTGCATTTGAAATTAGCGGGAAGTTCCAGGCATGGCCTGCAGGGTCAACCAATTTTTTTTATGTAATGTGTGTGACAATCGAGCACATAGTCGAATTGATGCTAAGTGGACACTGTAGCCTATAGACATCTACATTTAACCTCGATTAAGAATCAAAATGCAGATGCGTTGTCACCACTGACGGCTAAGATGGAATGCCTCGATTCCAGTAAAACGGGTCTCCGGTTCTCTACACTCACCATATGAAACACAGGAGCATTAAGCTGATATTTTACTCCGGTATTCATACCAACTAGTATAAATATAAAACATCAATTTCATAGATAAAGACCTACTAAATAACTCTGATAAATTGAAATAATGAAAATCGCTTATCCACTTTTCAGTATTTTATCAACATGAATAAATAATATATTCACTATTCAAGGTTAAAACCATTATCACATGACACAGAACAAACGTAAAATAATCCACCGTTCCAAACGTTTACTTGAAATTTTTTATTCAACTTACGGCCAAATACTCAAACGCTCAATTTTAAGTTTTCGTTAAGTCTCGTTGTCTCTATTACTTTAAGTCAAAGTGACTTTTACACCACCAGACTTAACGACATCCTAAAAGCGTTTGAGTATTTAGCTATTAACCTATTTATTAATGTTTATCTCACTCGATGCATATTTAGTATTTATTTTTAATGAATTACAGTTCACCTACTGGTAAACGGCTAATGTAGTCCATGAACCACAGTAGCCCCTTGTGAGGACTAAGATGGAATGCCCCACAGCCTGCAATTGTACCGGCTTTCCATGCCCTCTAGACTCGGTCACATTAGTACACAGATAGAAATAGGTAAGAAGGTAGCAGATACTCCTAAACAAAAAGGTAGTCCCTCCACATCGGGAGTAACATAACATAACATAACATAACATAACATAATTGGGTAAAGGGAAGAAGAAAGAGAATTTTTTTAGAAATAAAAAATTAAAATCTATTTATTTCAGATTATATTTACTTTAAATAAGGCCCTCATAAAAGACCCATTGTGTATTATGTATGAGTAAATCTCTGTCACATTATGCAGCTTAAATATATTAAAATAAAATATTCTAAATAAGCACTTTGAGCATTTTAAAAATATTCAATTCACAAAAAATAAAATAACAACAACAACAATACGCTGTTTGTGGGTATACATACTGCTTACATTATTATTTCTCAAACAATACATAGATATTTCTGAAACAACATATTTAAATCGTTTGCCACGATCTTTGGATAAAAGCCAAACTGATCTGCTTGTAGCATTCATCTCATTCTACGGAACGGTCTAAGGAATTTTCCTCTTTTTATCACGTATTTGATAAAGCTTCTCGTTGCTCATGGGGAGACGTTTGCTATAGTTGAACATGCTTAGCAGGTGGGGTGTTTTAAAAAGAAAGTAGTTACTGGGAAGGTGCTACTGCACATATTCACGTTTCTTTCCCTCCGTTGCCTATTACACAGCCGTGAGACAAGGAGATAGTGAACATTTTTAATGGTCAACGCTTAGTCTTACTTAGTTAGTAAAAGAAGATAATGTTAGCATTATCGGATAAAAGTTTATACTTTTCTTATAAAAATACTTAATCATCGTTTAATAAAATACAGACCACTGGTACCGGATATCGAATTACGATATAATGTAATGCACTTCCTAAATTTTTAGTTAGTGGATATTTTTTGGTTAGTGGATACTGTGGCTCATCATCATCGATATTTTTTGATATTTATCTTCAATAAATAATCAAAATGCAGATGCGTTGTCACTCCTGAGGACTAAAATGGAATGCTTCGTTTCCAATAAAATGTGTCTCCGGTTCTCTACACTCACTATACGAACACACGAACACAGTAGCATTAAGCTACTATTTGACCCTGGTATTCGGTGAGAGCGTGGTTTTGCCCCGGTCGAGCCGACCCATTCGTGCCACAACTATGACTGCAATATGTCTCCACCACGTATAAAATATTTCGTCTATCAATCTCATAACTGCCATGGTTTCTCTTCTTTTAAATTGTACGTTTCTTTTTAATACTCATTTATTGAAAAGTGGTACCTTGGGGACTGAGCAGTCTCTTAACGTAGGTAAGCTACCTGAGTTCGATGTAACTATTTACCGCGTTCTTGTCATAGGATAACATCATCGAAGCTAAGTTGGCTTTCTGCAATAGTTATCGTTAATAGAAAACTTTGAAATGAATAAAGTGGATGTTAAGTCACTCCTACTTTATTATGGTTTTCTAAGAGCGTAAAAATTGTAGAAAATCAATTTGTCAAGAAAATCAACGCAGGAGGAAAATCAACTCATTCCTCTGCGACCATGAGTGCTGCAAAGCACCGAAACGTCTAGAATTTAAAATTAACGCGAAAACATATCAGAAATATGGTTATACAATGTTTATAGTTTTCGTGTAAAAATCTGATAATAGAAGTATAGTCGGATAATAGATTGGAAAATGAAATTATATTTATATATTTTTATTAGTATTCATTTACAGAACAATAAAATATAAAGTATTTATTACAACAATAAAAAAGCTGGAAAATTTAAACTATCATACGGGGACATATTTATACGGAATTATTATACGTGGGGAATATAGAACTGTCACGTAATAATAATTTCTTTCATATATTTTCGAAAACGCTACACATCAAATGAAACTTTGGATTTTATCGCGTTTAATAGCGTCGGGAAATAAAACGTTAAAACTAACGCAATACAATCCGTAAAATCAGTTTAATTTAATGTAATATGATAATTTTAATATTCACTGGCACATTTCTAAATTAACTTTGTCACATTTCTATGGCAATAATTATTTGTATCTGGTGTCAAATTAACGTGACCATCAACTCTAAACAAATTAATTAATAGAATAATAGAAAACGAACTATGTATTTCGACGGTCAAATAAACCATTGTAACGAAATCAACGGAAGCCCGTATCGTAAATTTAATATCTATTCCTGTAATTTGATATAATTTTAGATGTTGCCCGTGCGAAACTAATTATATTACAATGAGCTATGCGAATTTCTATTGCGAAATCTTTAATTGTGTGTAGTATTTAAGATATTGATTATATTTTATATGAATATCGTTTTATATAAATTTGCACCGTCGGTAAATTGGCTGTTAAAAATGAAACACCTTAATTTTTTTTTGTTTTACATTTCTATTATTTCTACACTTTAAGCGAGTAATTCTTGTATTAAAGTACATCTAATTGGTTTTTCGGAAACGTCTCTAAATGTTTGGATGAAATATTGTATTTAGATAATAATTTACTTTTAAAGTATATCTAGATAATTTTTTTTTACCAAAAAATAGCAAATTTACCAGTATACAGAACTTAACATTCCCGACAGTGAATTTTAAAAACTTAAACACTGTAAATACAGAGATAAATAAGTAAAATCAGGAACAGGAGGAAGTTATGTATATAATTATACAAAACTATAAATGTTGATGAATTAAACACTAGTAAAGCTGTGATTAACCCATGTATGTAAGATGTTAAGTTCTGATGCTAAGTGGCTACTGTACCGATGGAAATCTTCAACCAATTTCAGAAAAAATTTTACGTGGTAGTCACGCTGCAGCTATATTATGGTTGTAACATGAACGGGTCGGCTCGACCGGGGCAGGACCACGCTCTTACAATATACCAGCGTAAAATAGCGGCTTAATACTGCCACAGCATCCACTTATCATCAGGTGAACTGTGGCTCGTTTGTCATCCTTATTGGCAGAAATAGGTAAGAATGTGGCCCCTACACAGACAAACAAACAGACAGACTGACAGACAGAGTAAAACAAGTTCTATCGCTTAGTAACAGTGAAAGTAGTTTACAAACGCCTAGCTAAGCTCGGTCTCCCAGGTACTTATTATTGATATGAGATCGGCAAAAATTAAAATCCATAAACTGACGTTTTCGTTTTTAAATTTTTTATTAATAATATTTGATTTTTTTTTTATTATGTTTTCATATTATGTTCATAAGATAGATACTACTCCATAAATATTTTAAATTGGGATGTTTACTTTAAAAATGACTTAGAATTTATTTAAAACTTTGTGTATTATATTTTGCTTTATAAAAAATACCTGTATATCTCGATATTAAGGATTACTTTAACTCGATCCATTTTATTAAAAAAATATTTTATTGATAGTCTTAGGTTTAAATTATGGTTTAAAGTATAATTCTTCTAACTTCATTTAACCGCGGAGCCTTCTTCGTGAAATTTAACATTTGTTGCCAAATTCCATACATTGCATTTTAGTTTGCTAATGTCCGCTGGACTTCTTACGTGAAACATGTTTTAATTTAAACCTGAGGCTAAATATAAAATACTTTTTGTATTAAGGCCGGATAAATTACTTGAAAGTTACACTTATTCTAATTCTACTGTTGTATTTTCTTTACATTAAAACCCATATTTGTTATTGTTATGTTTGCCAAGATAAAATCTGAAATTTAAACACTAACTGCTAAATATGTACCTACATAATGTTAGTGTTGAAAATGATTAAATATTAAGAAAAATTTATAAATTATTCAATGACTACAGAGTGCTATAAAACAAACAACAACAAAACACAATTGTTTTGTTGTTGAATTACTTTTCTTTTTCCTGTAAGAAAACTTTTACCTACCCTCAAATGAGAGTTAAATATAAAATTTCCATTTACTTGTTCGCCCAATGATTTGTGTACTATATCTTAGGAAGAGTTGGATGACACTAGGCGGGACCACATTATATGCATTCTTATTTGCATAATTTTTAACAATTTCATTTAAAAACTTAAATTCTTCTGTGCATCTGGAAATGCAAAATATAACTGTAAAATCGTGTCATCGAAATCATCCTACGTATAATAATAGTCTATAGTGTTTCGAAAGCGCAAGTCATATATAATCTGTGACTCGTAACCGTCTCACAAGGTGAAGTGAAACGTTGCTGTCAGTTCACGCTTTACTATTGCGCGCCTTTCCAGATCTGAGGCCCAAGGGACGCGGGCGTCCTCAACGCATCTTACTGGGAGTCTGGCCGGACGAGCACATTCGCGGCGTGATTCGCGCCGTGGTCTTCCGAGACACGCACGCGCCACACGCTGCCCACCACATCAAGGAGGAGGTCCTCCCTTACCCTTCTATCACGGTCAGTATCGCGTAATGACTGCTGCCTACGTTCCTTATCTAATTGAGGCCGCACGAATACCTCTATTGTGCGCTGATTCATTGCCGTTTCATATGATTTCCAATCTGCTAATGCGAACTTGCAATTGCGACTTTATAATTGGCTCGGCGCCTCGGCTACATTAGATTGCGACAGGATTGTCGCCGCAGCTTAGACACTTTGTTGGTCATGACTTTGTTGGTTCTAGGAAGCGCGGGCGAATTTTCTTAACGTATTATTTTTGAGCTTTTGTAACAGAATGCCGGTGCGCGTGTTGCAGGACGGAATGGGCGTACAGAACGCGTATGGGGGCGTGCCGTGTGGCAACGGACGCGAAGGCGGGGTTTCACCGAACGCCGCCGCCGCTGCCGCCGTGGCAGCCGTGGCACACGGCCTTCGCCGCCAGATGTGCAACATGGTGGTCGCAGCACAGCGGCCGCCCGACCACCCCCGCATCTCAGCCTGCCACCGCTGCCGCTGCAGTCGCCGCGCTTGCCATCCCCACTTTCTTCCGGCTTGGAGTCACCGCTGTGCTCCCCCCCCGCCGCCCGGCCATGCCCTCGAACCGCCGAAGCCGACTGACCCGTTCCGCCCGTTCGCCTCCCCACGTCCAGACAGCCGCTACAGCGAGCGTGACTCGGTCGCCGATATCACGGAGATGGGCCCACCTAAGACACCGTTGGGCATGGCGAAGAATAGCAAAGATCTGACAACGCCACTGCCCGTGAAGATGGAGCCACCACCTGGAGAGGCACGGGCTGAGAACATCTGAAGCGAGGCCGCGGGCGCGGGTCAAGCCGTCGCCGCCGTACCATCCGTGCAGCAAAACATGTCACACAGCACTCACGTGCCCCATGGTCCCCATGGCAGCCACATGCCGCAAGGACCCCACGGACAACACGTGCCGCACGGATCTCACGGCTCACACGGCTCCCCGCTGCCCGCACCCCCGCCGCTGCCCTCATACCCGTACTTTGTACCCAACCGCAACTCCGTCGGTTACTTCTAAGCGTGTTGAAGAACACGTTCTCTATCGTTTTCGAAATCCGACATCAATTTAGTTTCGTCTAATTTAATTATTTAAAGTGGACTTGCTGTGCAATAAAATGCTTGTTGTTTAGTTTTCATAATTCGTAAATAAAGGAATATTTTTTAGTTTAATTATTTTTATTATTACTTTTTGTATACATTGTCGTTCGTGTATGTGTTCCAGTGACATAGTTTAAGAGAGCGACCATGAGGGACTCCAGGCCCTGTTGCGGCCCGGAGTCACTCGCGGTCGCGAGTAGATCGTCAGATATATGATAAGCTTAAATTAAATACATAGATCCATTTGTGAACGTTGGGATGACAAAATTCAAAACATTCGGCCCTTTTCAAAAAGACTGTTCGGTATACCTATTCATTATAATCAGCTATATACATAACGTGTAAGACAAAAATTATAAATTAGCTCTAGATGTAACCTTGAATTAAAGTATAGAGGAATCTGTCATTTCGTTTTAACGTCAGGTCGGTGTCAACTTCTCTACTAGTGTAGTGAGTGTCGCTTGCCCGCCCTGGGCCACTCATTGTTCACTGTTCGTGCAGCGATTCACGTTCGAGTAGATTTAGTAATCGCCAAATGTAATATAGTTTATCCTTAGCCAGTAGTGATTGTTCCAAATGTTAGGCTAAATTAGATGTTTGGGCTCGCCCGCCCTCCACGCATTAACCGCTTCGTATAAATTTAACCGTTTTTCGTCGTATCGTATAACGTTTATAATATACGTTTTAATCGCATAACATTAAATCAGCATTGGCTGAGTTTGCCTAATAAAATGGATCAGCGTTTCTACGAAAAAAAAAATAGTATTCTTAAAGTCATTACGAAACATTTTTTGGAAGAGTAGAAATAATTTATTGCCCAAACTTTGGCAATTTGGTCGATTCTCAAATTATTTTTGATCTGTGAACATTTTAAATATGTAAAAATTAAATTTCTCTATCGTTTTTATATTTAGTAATTATTAGACATACCATGATTAATACAAATTTCAGAAAACAGTTAATGACGGTATATGAATAGAAAAAAAAACAATTACTATAAAATAATAATAATTTATACTAAAAAAACTACAACGTTAATGTGTGAGGGTACGAGGCTTGCCCGTTTTAGATTTAGGAGCACTGAAATCGCTAAGCGTTGAATATACATCCGAGCGTCTGCTAACTTACCTACCGCGTAGCTAGAGTATTAAACATTTCAATTTAATTAGAGTAGCTATGTAACAATTTGTAGCATTTGATCATAGTTCACGGTGGCGTCGCTAAGACCTTTTCTTTGTACCCAGGGTCCCGAGCGACGTTAACGCTCTACTAGTGTTGCCAGCGTGAAGAAAATAAACTCTTATTAAGGTGTACATGTACAAATTTCTTTCATCAGCACCTTCCTTGGATGCAGAGTTAATGTTTTTCATAGTTTCGGCGGAAAAAAAATAGATTATTGATCTTCTTGCCGCAAGGGTATACCATGATTTAGATAAATGTTGGCGGATATTCGTTGGCGTAATTCTCAGGTGTGACATGTTGAAGGGCGTGGCCCCGCCGCTATAGGGCTCCGATGCGGACACGGTGGTGCCATGTCCAGTAAGTATCGTCGCAGGACACGCTCGGGAAACAACTTTGAAATAAGTCTCCAAGTGGCCTTGATATCTCACTATTGTTTGGAATTTGGATTATCCGATTCGGTTGAAGTTTGGAATTAGTGTATAAAAAAGACCAAATTATTAAAAGAATTCATTCGCGATTCAGATCTAGTGTTGGAAACTATTTGGCTATCCTTTTGGAAATAAAGTTATTCTAGGTGAAAAATGAAAAAAAGTTATTTAAACGGCCTATACGTTTCGGATGAATTGCGTAGATTTTGGTAAATGTTACTATGCATATTTTCTATTGTGTAAGTTTAGGCTAATGTGTTCAAAAAAGATAAATTAAAAATTTTTGAAAAAGTAGAAAGTGCCTTCTAAATTTTAGAACACAATAAGTGTTGGGACGGGTGCGGCGATGATCGGTAGGATGCGGCCTGTGGCAGTGCTGTGACTAGAGGGTAACATTAATTTTGTATATCGATACAAGCTCCACACTAGCTCCGTACACTGTGCTGCCACACGACCGCCTTGAACGTGCTTACCTATTAAAAGTTAGAATAATAAAAATTCAAAATTATTATATAAATTTAAATACATATGACTATTATATAGTAAAAATTATACATAAAATTATATATTTGGCCGATGTGGTTATACCCTGACAGGCAAGCGTTAGTTATTCGGCATCAAAATTAATTCTATATTTCTTTATAAACAATGAAAGAAAAAATCCACTGGAAACAATGCAGACATTGCCATGTGCCATTTGTTGGAAAGGGTTCCATTTGTATCACACTTGGATTTTGTAGTTGGAATTAAACATTAATTAATTTATTGTACTGGATGAAAAATATACATTTCGATTGAATAAACGTAAGTAAAACTATGTTATTTTCGTGATAGTTAAGTAAAAAAATTACTTGTAGTTATATTGGACCTTAACCTTTAGAGGCGGTTTTGGTATGCAACTATGTACTACGCGTTTATTTATGGTTTTAAATCATCATCACAGCTAATTCAAATCATTACTGGCGACTTGCACAATGTGCTATACTGCATGACAATTCCAACTCCATCTATTCTTCTTTTTGTGATAAAATATATTTTTAATTATAAGTGGCAATGTTTCTACAAGCAATGTCCTTTTTTGTATTGTTTAATTATTATTACTGTTTAACAAAGTATTTATTTTGTTTGTATTCCTACCGCCTTTATGGGCTCAAAATATTTCTTACACCTGTCAAATAACCAAGAAGTGTTATTTCTTTTTTTACCATAAATATTGCAATTCTGTATTTCAAGTGACTGTTTAGATTTAAGTAGCGCTGCTCTCGGTGGGTATCGATATTTAAAGAACATTTAAGCATCATCATTGCTTTTGGCTCTAACAAATGATTTTATGCATATCAAAATAGACTATTTTGTTGCTCACGTGGCCCACATATTCTTTTTATACCGTACTGAGTTATTATCATTGAGACTTTGTTTTGCTATATTGTCTTGAGTAATTAAAGTCTACCATTTGCAAATACAGATAAAATTCGTTTGTTTTTTTTTAACTTCACCCTCGTGGCAACCAAATAGTCAGTGTCATTTAAAAAAAACTTATGTAAATGTTTAAAAAGAAAATAGTTTGCGATTATTATCGTCGTTATAACGATTATGTTAAATTGAATTATTGTTGTTAAGATTTATTTTTTCTCTTTTATTATCTGCGTTCCTGGTATATCTTGTATTATAAAATACGATATTTTTACTTTTGTGATCAAAGATGTATCTTTTTCTAGTAAGGTAAATTTAATGTAATATGTGTGTTAACGCTGTCCGAATGAAAGTAGATTCAGAATTAGTTTCCGTTTAAGTCTACTATGAACATCTAATAATACATTACATGTTATATCGATGTTATTAAAATAATACTATAAGTGTAAAACTATCGCTGTCCGTAATTATTGTTATATTATAGTAAACTCGTTCGGACAAGCAGAAATGCGCGACAAAATTACTTTCAGACAGTATATTGTTAAGTACAAGTTACGCAGAATCGATGTTAGTCCCTAACCAGTAACCAGAAATATTGCATGTAGAGAACAGATTCGAAATCATTTAGTAGCCGTTCATCTGATTAAATTATTATGTAGTGTCTATATAAATTGCATTCAGTAATTCTTAAGTTCGTTATTGTCACAGTGTACCGTTGTCTGAATGAATATATAAAATAGAGCAACAATGTGGTTTCATTTGCCAACCACCTCTCCCTTCTTAGTTATAAGTACCAGGACGACATATCTCAATGTAGAACAATTTCAACCACCGTAACAAAATTATAATCATCCACTGTTTGGGTTTTCTTATCGTTTAGTGGCGGTGACAGAATGTCCATTACCATAACATCCCGTGGGTTTCGCAAGAGGCGGCACAGGGAAAAATTCCGGAGATGAGCAGCGGCGTCTTCCTGATAACAACTAAAATGAAAAACTGCAGTTGCCAACTCCTTTGCCAAGCGTGGCAATTATGGCAAATACTTATAAGGGGGTCCTCTATGAGGCATTCTATGAGGAAGGGGCACGGCAGGACCTTATAGGCTGTATTACGGTTGAGGTTTTTGGTGGGGACCCAGAACGACTGGATTAACAAAGAAATTATCCATTCAATAAATATTTAGTTATTCCAAAAATATAAAGAAAGAAGACAGAATTTTCCATTGAGAAAAATGATCCATAGTCGCAAGAAAGACTGTTATTATTCTTTATTTAATAACAGTAAAAATAATTCAAATAAAATGTGGGAAGTTATTAATAATTTGTCTTTAAATAAGATTAAGGATAGCCGAAGCTAAAATTGGATTCAGGACTCGTTATAACCGAAGGTAACGCAATTCGAAAAGCATTTAATTCATTTTATTCGAGATTCGGTGCAGATTTAGCAAATAAAATACCTGTAACCTTTTAATGTACGAAAACAATGACACTATTTTGTGTGAGCATTATGTGCTAGAAAGAAATATCCAAAATCACTGACAATTTGGATAGCAAAACAAGTATTGGAGTTGATGGAATCAGTATAAAGGCAATAAAATGTTTAAAAGCATTATTGCTGACTAATTTACGTATTGTATTAAGGGGCGACAGTATCTCAGCTT